TCAACAATTGATATCAAGTTTTTAAGTTCATTTCAAAATATTATATCAAGCTTTAAGCATGCTCAGTTGGTATCTAGCTTTAAATTAGCATCAAGCTTTATATTGTCTCTTCTCACTTGAGTTCTAAAGTTGATCAAATCCTTCTTAAATGTGTTTGGGCCTTGCAATTAACAGATTAATATGCTTGGTATGCCTAATGTCCTTTTAAACAAAGAGAGCTTTTACTAGTGTTTTGCCAATTGGTATAATGAGCTTTAAAATGATTCTATCCTTCATAATTGATTTTATGCTTATTCGCTTCTACAAAGGGAGAGCTTTTACTTATATCTATCAATTGGTATATTGAGCTTTATCCATTGGTATTGGTGTTGAATATTGGTAGTATAGCAATTAATGTGGTTATTGAATACTTGTTTTTCTAACAATTGGTATTTTCTTTATTGTGCTTATTGTGTTTCCATCTTCCTTTTTAATATAACAAAAAAATGGAGAGATATTGAGAAAATTTGCATCTATAAAAAGGAATGGCCTTGTAACTTGCTTGACTCAAGTTTTGAACCTTGTAATCATTGAAAGAGAGTTTTCAAATGTTTCAAAATATTTTAACCATTCTCATAGTTTTGTAAAATGTCAACATTTTAAAACAAAATACTTCATGATTAGACTTAGAGGGAGTATACAAGCAAATTTTGCTCAAAGGTTTGTTATATCAAAAAGGGAGAGAGATTATTAATTGTATTAGTTTTAAAATGATTATAGTTTTGAAATGACAAAAAAGATCAAAATTGCTTGAATGATTTCTGAACTTGTTTGAGGGATCATTAAATTTAGAAGTAGTTTTTTTTATTATTATTGTTTGAAGTTTTGGAAGACTTTATCTTTGGAGGCGGAATGGTTATTGAACTTTTTTTTCCAAGGTTTGAGATAGAATCTTTTTATCTAGATGAACTCATTGAGCTTTTCCGTAATCGTTGTTTCTTAACCTTTAATGCTAATTTGATAATATCAATTAAGCTCTAATATGATTGTAGTTGAAAAACATCTGCAATTTCAACATTGAGACCTCCAAGATAATGAGCTGTAGTTTGCTCTTTAGGTTCATGTAAGTTGCAATTCATGTGAAGTTATTCAAACTTCATTGTATATTCTTTCACCGACATTGCTCTCTACCTCAAAGTTATGAAATTTGATAAAAATTTCTTGTCAATAGTGCTTAGGAAGGAACTTATGTTTGAGTTCCTGATGCATTTTATCCCATGTTCTGATCTTATTACAACCTTCTTTTTTTCATTGCTATTTGAGATTTTTCCACCAAATAGAGGCATACTTTTTCAATTTAATTACAACAAGTTTCACAAGTTTTTTGTTGAGAGCATCTTTGAGTCAAAAGCTCTTTCCACTTTGTAGAGCAGGTCAAGAAAGCCATCAAGGTGAAGCTTTCCTTCCAAACTCAATAATGTCGACCTTAATTCCTAAAGCTCTAGTAGCAGCACTTCTTAAGTGACATATAAGTACTTCTTCATTAGAGGATGATTCTTGATAGAAAAGGTTGGTATTGTCCTCTTTATCACTGGAGTTACTATTGTTGATTTGAGTAACATCACGGCTGTCTAGTTGTTTTTGTAATTTTTGAACTTGGTAATATGGTTCCTCAACGTCAATGAGCATTTTGGCGTCTTGGTGGCATTTTGTTGGCTCAAATAAGGACGACAATTATGAAAATGATGATGTGGTGATGACGTGATGAACACATGATGAAGATGATGAGGTGATGCAAAAAAAGATGCTGATATACCTATAAAATTATAAAAGAAATAGAATTACTCGAACAAGGAGAGTTGAAACTTGATAATGATAAGAATGTGAACTATGTAATGAATAATGATCTTCTCATTTTGATACCAAATTGATGTCGAGGTGTCATGAAGACACCAATATTGGTGATATTAGAAAACCTCATTAAGGTAAAGTAAACATCAATCTTGACGAGATTAAAATCCCCACTAAGGTGAAAAATAGTCAAACTTCCACTTTGATTGGCCAAATCAAAAGTACTAGAATCTCTTAAACTTCCATTTTAGTTGGCCAAACCAAAAATACTAGAATCTTTTTACACTTTCACTTTGGTTGGCTAAATCAAATATACTAAAATCTTTTACTCTTTTAAAAAAAAGTTTAGAGAAAATAACCATCGCTTATTCAAGAAAATATTATTTATTTATTCTCAACATGATTGTGCTTAATAATTAACCCAATATGACTTTATATAACTATTTCTTAAAAAAAAAAGGGCTTTTTACTTTTGCATGTGGGATTATTATAATTTCCAAATAAACTAAAACTCTTATTTTTTCTTATTATTTTTATGTGGGACCTAAATAATAATAATATAATAAAATACTCTTGTATCACTTAAATTTGCATTTATTTTTTGATTTGTTCACCTTTTTTCCTAAATATTCTTTAAAAAGAAGTCGGTAGAATTTAAAGATACAGTTGTGTTTTTCAAATGAGTAAAAAGAAGAAATTTAAAAATAAATTGTAGTGAAAAGTACATGAAAAAAAAATGAAGAAAGGCATAATAATAAGTGGACTTATTCTAATAATTTCCATCATTTATCCTTTTTTCTCTACTTATTTTTCAAAGTATTATCCAAACTATTCCTTACACATTTTCTCAAGTATTGTATTAATTTAAAATATTTTAAAATCACTAAATCTTTTCTCAACATTTTCTTTTCAAAAATAAATCATATAAGCTTTATAATTTAAAGTTATTTTAAAATATCACCAAAAAAAATTTTCAAATTACTTAATTTGTTAATTATGTAAACTCCAATTGCACCTCTGGAACCTTGTGAATGTAGATTTTTTTCAATTAGCACTATGTTGATAACTTTAGTTCTCACAGGTAAATTAATTTTACCCAATAAAATTATTAAAATATTTTCAATTTGAAATTTTATAGGACAAAATTAATGGTTTAAAGCCTTGTGAGAGGAGAAATTTTTTACAAGGTGCTAATTGATAAAAAAGATAACCATAGGATGCTCATTGGGAGAAAAAGAAATCATGAGAAAAATTGAAACCATAAAAGACTTGGATTTAGATTTTTAAACTCCAACCAAAAATATTATATTATTAACAAAGAATATATGTTTTATTCTGATTTTAACTTCAAAATAAATTTAATAAAATATTTTAATATTATATAAGTAGATGGATGAAGATGGGGTTGAACGAACACTGGTTTAAAAGAAAGAATAAAAGCCCAGGTAAAGTCGGAGAACAGCTCCAGTTCTATATACTTGGGTGAATTCTACAGTTTTTATTTAACCTGCTTTTGTCAAGCAAACAGATTATAAGTTTTTTTTATTGATCAATGACTGAAAATTAACACTTTAAATCTAATGGCTCTCATCCGTAGCCTAAGATTAAGGTTAGCCTTACTATAGAATTTGCCATGCCATATACTTGGCCTCATGCAGTAAGACAATCACATGGTCCCCTTACTCAAGCCGAAATGCAACTCATCTTGGTTTACACTGTTGCTGTTGGGTTCTTCTATCATCATCTCTTTCACTATCGTTTTTGCAGAAATGGATTTTGCACATCAAACTTAAAACTACAAGACATATTTCATTTTCCATCATAAAACAAATGTTGTGATTCCTTTGGTGGCAGCCTAAAACATAAACTGAAACAAACCATGAAACTAAAACTACAAGTTGTCCTCATCAGGAAACTTGATATACCAAGTATATAGTAAAAAACTTGTAAGTATTCTTTTATAGTTATAGAAGCAACCACCCCCTAGTGAGAACAGGCAAAAGCCCAAGGGCGGCAGTAGTTAAGACCGTTGAAGTCTAAACTGATAAACAAAGGAGAACAACTTGAAACAGTCGTATGATAGAGACTACAAAGGTTCCTATTTGTCTGCTTTCATTTGTCACTCTTGAGGCTTAGCTCTTGCATTGTTGCCTATTGTTATGTCCCTCCATATTCACCGTTCCTTTTTGCCTTTCTTTTTTTCTCTTTGTTTTTTTCTTAGTTTCGCAGTCCTTTTTTTTTTTATGTTTTATGAGCAAGCAACAACTCATGTATCCCCATGGAATGGCTTTTCTTCACTCAGCATCTCCTTTATTCCATTCCTTTCACATCCTAGGATTCTTCATATCTGCTTTCCACCCACTAAGCCTCCTCAACAACTCAGTTTATATTGTCTATTAGCAAGGTTTAACTTTCGGGTTTCGTGCCCAATTCTGTTTTCAGCTTGGATCACATTAAAAGGGCCGGGGAGGTTGAAAAGTGAGGATATTCCTATCTTTTCCTGCAGTGGATGTTATACGAGTGAAAAGTGAGTTCATTCGGGTCTACGTATCTACTAACTTCTGAATTACTGTTTATCTTTTCTTCAGAATCGATTGAAAGTAAGTTTGAAGTAGATACAAAAACGTAGTGTTGCATTATTGTGATGGAAAGTATATGTTGCCAGTTTGGTGTTTAATGCATACATTTATTTAGGTAGTTCGATCATATTTGTCTTTCTGGTTTTTTATGTTTCTCAAAATCTGCATCAGAGAGGCCAGGCACTTCCTAGTTCCCAGTCAACGATAGAGTGCAGAGTGTTCTTTGTTTTTTTGTACGAGAGAGTACAGGGTTTAATGCTTTGAAATGTCGGCATTCAGAAGTAGAATCTATTTGGAGTTTTCATTGGAGTGGAAAATTTAATTTATTCTAGTGGAAATCCCATTTTGGATGAAATAAAGTTTGTTGTTATTTAGATTGATATTGTATCAACTCAATTTTCTTTCCTTACTTGATGTTATCGGTTGCATGCTGGCCTTCTTTCAGTTTTCTTGTTTCTAGTGGACGCTAAATAGAAGAAGATTGATTTCAGTTAGTACTATATTTCTGCTCTCCTCACTCGCTGTTGCTCATTTTTATTTGCTACAGGATTCAGCATAAAGGGAAGGCATTCATTCTAATAGCATAACTAAATGGCATCATCTTTGGAGGAGCTTCTTGCAGAGGAAGGGTTTAGAGGAAGAAGATCCGTCACGAGGCCAAGATCCTCCATCAGATCAGAAGCAGTCAGTAAGACAGATTCTCCAATTAGCAACAGAGTTAAGACTGAGAGAACAAGGTCTGATACATCTCGGTACAACTTGAGAGGTGAATTGTCGAGAAGTGATAGTACTACGGGTACGAGGCCAAGAGATTATCTTGTTAGAAGAGAGAAACTAAAGGGTGAATTAAAGAAAGAAAATAAAGAAAGACTTGAAGGAATAGGTTCGAGTGACAGGCACGAGGATAGATGGTTGAATATCAATTCCTCAGAAGAGTTTCAGGGAAATGAGATTGTCGAGGTTGGTGTGGAAGACAACGAGAGAGTAAAGGATGCATTTTCTAATGAAGTGCATAGCTTAGGGAGAAGAGATAAGAGGCATAATAACGGTTTTAATAAACCTCTGCTTGGACGAAGAAGCTATAGCGATAATCATCGCAACAGCGAGAAGCAGCGGGACACCGCTTCTGACAAGGCTGATAGAGGTTCACAGAATAGCAAAAGCTTCGAAGATGGCACCCAGCGTCAGAAGCACAATGATTTGGTACCAACAGTTTCTCATCCCGCTCTTGATGAAGTTGCTATTCAAGCCATTGTATCCATCTTAAGTGGTTACATTAAACGTTTTCTCCAAAATGAAGAATTCCGGACTGCCCTTCATCACAACTGCTTCTCCTCCCTTAACTTTATTGGGCTTGAAGACCAAAATAATGAGAGCAAAGTCATTTTCAACCTTGAACAAGCCATTGAGATGGTAGAAAAAGCTGTTGCAGACTCTGCAGGTCCAAAAGAATTGAAAAAAGCTTCATTGCAGCTTAGTGTGATAACTGGCTTGAATTCAAATGATTTGAAGAGTGGCTTCACATGTGGGGTTCCTAATGCTATGCTCTCAGCATGTGCTCACCTTTACCTCAGTGTGATCTATAAGCTACAGAAGAAAGACAGGGTTTCAGCGAAGCATATATTGCAGGTGTTTTGTGATTCACCCTTTCAGGCCAGGAGAAATTTGTTGCCTGAACTGTGGGACTATCTATTTTTTCCACATCTTTCACATCTGAAGGCTTGGTACAATCAGGAAGCTGATTCTCTATCAGATGCACCAAGCAGGGAAAGGAAACTGAAACTTCTTGAGAAAGTGTATATTGATATTTTGGACTCTAGCACTTATCAGTTAGCTGTATATTACAAGGATTGGCTCACAGAGGGGGTTGAAGCTCCTTCTTTTCCTTCCATCCACATTCCATCTGTATCAGTTGGAAAATTTCTGCAGGACGATTCACTTGCTCATTCTCCGCAGCTAGCTAGTCCAGCTGGTCCTTTCTCACCTCAGCCAATGGTCAGTAAAAAGTTATATGATGCTGTATTTGGCCGATCCATTAAACCTGGACTCGAGGAAGCTGAAGATAATGTGGAGCCACATAACTATGAAACTTGTAGAAGAAGCTCTGATGGTGATACTGTTGACATTAAACAAACATTAACATGCTCTTCTGAGGCAATTAAACATCCATATCAAGATAATGGTGAAGCTTCCTCCAAAAGTCCACAGGATGATGCATCCTTTCTTGTAAGTAACTTATAACTTGCATACATCCTCATTTTTTTGCATATTCGTGGGCAGGGCTTAAGAGGAAGCCATGGCCCTTCTCCTTGCTTTCCCAAGATGTTTGTTTAAAGTTGAATGTTTCTCTTTTAACGAAGGCCTATTTGTGCGTAGTCATGCTTGGCTCCCAAATACACATTTTTTCTGTTCATAACTACCCCTAACTACATTAATATTATGTTGCCTGTAGTATTTGCTATCTTTGCATTAGGGGTTTAGTGGCATGTCAGAACAGCAAAGATAATAAAAACTGAAATGTCAGACACTTGTTTTACCAGACCTTTGAAAAAAAGAAGGTTCCAGAAGAAGAAAATGCTGTAATCTTCCTATTTCTGAAGAGTATGAGCAAACTTCTAATAGCTTGTTTGTGTCAAAAAGAAGAAAGTTAATGACGAAAGCACCTATTGTCCATTTTCCTGCAGACTGTTAGTTCTGGCTTTCTCCATGCAATACATATATCATTAATGGTTTGCATCATGCCCTTTACTTCTATTGCTGCTTTATTCATTGCAAATTGCGTTGTTTTCTATTTACATCACACAAGTAGAGTTATAAGCTAAATTTTTACTGCCATTGAGTGTATGTCAGAATCTGCTATTGCATTGTATTAATACCACTGTAGCTTTAGATTTTCTTGATAGGAAATGAGTAGCACCAGCCATTAATCGACATACAATGTTCTAGTACTGGAAACAATGACAATATCACATTATGATACTCTTTTATATTAATTTCAATACTTTGCATCTCTTCCAAGTTGATTGCTCTTTGGATCATTTAAGCTAAGCTTCAACACTTTTCATGTAGCTTGGCCTTATATGTACAGCTATTTTCTTTTATCTTTTTTTCTAACAATGAAAGTTTTTAAAAAATCTACAGAGCATCTAATGTGGTTTCTATAGCCGTTACACTCCAAGATGATCTCTGGAGATCTGCAATATGGGCAATTAGACATAAAAGCTTATTCTGCATGCAGGCTTATTTAACTGCTTGAGGCTTTCCTTCTCAATTAGAGGCATATCATCAGAAAATAACTCTCATTTGTGCTTTTTTTGTCTAACTATCATCTCAGAGAAATGCTTTTAAGCAACCATTTTGAGGATTTAATTCTGCTGCAGGAAGATGGCACCTCCTCAACAGCTGAGGAAGAATGGAGACTGCCAGGTCTGAGTATGCAGCAGGAAAAAGATATCCATTGTACCAATAACCGCTCCAAAGCTGATAACATATGGCAAACAACCGCACAGGATTTTGATGTGCTACATGCACCAGTTCTTTTAATTGCCAATGAACTCATGCTCAAGAGGCTAGCGAAGTCTGTGTTTGAGCCACAACAGACTGAGTGCCAAGTTGATGCTACTCTTGAAGGTCTTCCAAATCCTAGTGAGAAGCTGATCCACAACTCTCTTGAAAATGTACAAATTCATCAATATCTTCTTTAAACAGTCCTGTTTCCCTTTATGTACACTATGTTTATTTACTAATAAGTTCTTTTTATTTTATTTTATCTGGAGCAGCCAACTAAAGTCAGGTCTTCTTTTGAAGGTAAGTTGAAGGGATAATGTTATGGATGCTTGTGTTTTATATTCGAGATTTTGAATTGATTGCTCATATTGATCTTGTCTCGGTGCAGAGTTGCATGAAAGTTCCAGATTTTTTGATGAAGAATCCTTACTCTCAAGCATACCCCGGGACTTTATTTGCCCTCTGACTGGAAAGTTGTTTGAGGACCCAGTAACCCTTGAGACAGGTCAAACCTTTGAGAGAGTGGCCATCAAGGAATGGTTTAATCAGGGAAACAGGACTTGTCCAGTAACAGGAAAAACGTTGGAATATCTGTCTGTGCCGCTCACCAACTTTATTTTGAACCGTGTTATTGATAGTTGGAAATCGGAGAATTGTAGGCATACTTTGGCATTGGCCTTTCTAATAGTTGGGAATTCAAGAGAACCTGGGTCACCAAGTAGGGGTGAAAGAGCGACATTCATATTACAGCAACTTCTTACCACTTTAGGGAGAGAAGAAAGAATTATGAATACCAAACACCTTATTTCTCTAGGAGGTTTGCCATTTCTGATTCAAAGGTTTGAATCAGGAAATTTGAAGGAGAAAACACGTGTTGCTGAACTTCTCTCTTGTTGCATTGAAGCGGATTCAAGTTGCAGATATCACATAGCAAGGGATATTAACAAACAATGTCTGGTTGAGCTGATTTGCAGCAAACAGGATAAGCCAAGGGGAAATGCAGTGTTGTTACTGACAGAACTGATATGCTTGAGCAGGTTAATATTTAATCTTTCTATGAGAGTTTCTACAGTAGTTTTGTTGCTTCTTTGCCATTCTGTGCAGCACATAGGGTAGATGGAAAATATTGGTAAGTGTAACTGCCCTATATGACTCTGAGTACTTCCGACTCTCTCCTCTTTGTGTGTGTATGTGAAGGACAGGGGAGCATGTTTGTCCTATGCCTAGTGGGTTAGGGGAGAGGTAGGAGGAGTTAAGCAAATGATCACAAGGAGTATATATAGTATGTACCTTGATATCCCTGTAATACTCCATATCTAAACTTGAGAAACTTATTAGATTTTAGATTTTGTTTATGTTTAGATCCACAACCTCGTGTTCGTATGCTTCTAATTGGTATAGTGGGATACTGGATACATGATGCTGTTAGGCTACCTAGGTCTCGGGTTTGTAGTGCTTTGTAGATTCCTGTTCCATTTTCTTATTTGGTACTCAAACCATGTTATAATTTTCTTTTCTCTTTATTGTGACAATAATTATGGATGACTAGTCGCATATTTGTCCAAAAAGACCCTGCTGTTTATCTTGTCCTTATCACCTGCAGTTGTGTTTGTAGAAACGTGATTCTGAAAAAATAATTGAAAATAAAAATGATGAGATCCATGGATATATCCTCTAGATATCGAGTGGGATAAGTCAAGAGAGATTGTGTCAATAAAGTTTTCCCCAATTGTGGAAGTGGCATTGAAGCAAAAAAAACTATAGCATATAAATTTGATGAAGAAAAGCATGGGGAGACTAATTCATTTGGTATCTGTTTCCATGTTTTGTCTTCATCATAACAGGAGGAAAGATGTCCCACTACTTTTAAGTGACTTGAAGAATGAAGAGATCGTGAACACGATGCATGCTCTTCATGTCTATCTCCAAAGTTCTCCTCCTGCACAAAGACCCTTGGTTGCTACACTTTTATTGAACATAGATCTTCTGGTAAGCCCTACATTAGATTTACTAGTCGGATTCTGCTTCTCATTTCCCTATTCTAATGTTGTGTTTTTCCGATAAATTCTGATTGTTTACTCTTTTTCTCAATTTCTTTTTCTGATGTTATTTCTTAATATTGGACCAAAATTCTTTGCCAAGACTGAGATGAACACGTGCTGCAGGTAGAACCTCGAAAGTACAGCTCATACAGACAGGAGGCCCTTGATGTCATTACAGCAGCACTAGATAGCGGCTTAATTGATGAAGAGGTTCGAGAAAAATGTTGCAGAGCACTACTTATCTTGGGAGGACGTTTTTCTTTGTCCGGGAAGTTATTGACAGAGGGTTGGATTCTAAAGCTATCCGGGTTCAATGATGGTCGTGAGGTGAACTCTATTGACAAAGAAGAGGACTTACATATTGGTGACACTATTCGATTGGTAAGTTTCATCTCTACGATCCGTTCGCCATTGCCTCTCCTTTCTTCCATGATAATCATATAGGAGTGGTATTTAAAATGAACTTCCCCTTGTGTAATGCAGAATGCAGGGGGCTGCTAATGACAATTATAGAAGAGATTACGATTCCTCTTAGAAGCCTTGCTGATGTAACATGGACAGCAAAGCAGCTGTATGGCATAACTTGTGGGACAGACCTATAATCTGACATGGAGGAGATGCTGCTTCACAATTTCACAAATTTGCAGGCATTTAATAATAATCTTTTCTAGGTAAAGGACACTACTCAGACTTCTGCAAGATCAAATGACATCCCTTGAGGTGATGATTGCAACATGATATTTCTCTTTCATAAATGCCAAATACTGCTTCAAAAATTTTGTTCTCTAATTGATTCTTAGAAGAATTATAGACTGTATCGTAATCACAAGTTACGGAAGGGACTATGACGTTGTCAAATCTACAAAGACTCTTCTGGTGATTTCATCTTCTCTTCTAAACTGGACAATTATTTCTTAGAGCAATATGTCGCCCACTTATCATCAGTTTTCTAATTATTATAAGATTTTAATGTTTATATGTTTAGTACAGCTCTAATGATATAAACTATTATTATACTCTGTTGTTTTTTCATAAAGTGGGTAAAATACTTGTCATTAATTCTTTGATACATCATTTTTTATTTTATAGTTTAAATTAGTATGATATCCCATCCTATATGATATGAATATAATTGTTAAGACTTATGTTAAGGTTTAAGTCAATAACTACTAACGATTTGAACTTAAGTTTTTGACTGTCACATAATTTAGGTTCGAAAAATTGTTGAGCCAATGGTACTTAAACTTGAATCATTATAATTGGTGTTAAAGCATGTGTCATCTCAGTGATTGTGATATACGGCCTTGATGAGAATATCAAAGATTGCGTGGGTGGGTTGTGATACCTCTATCTCGTATCGAATGCGAATGTAATTGTTAAGATTTATATAAGTATTTAAGTTAATCACTATTAATAACTTGAGTTTAAGTTTTTTCTAACGACACATGGTTTATGATTGAAAAGTTGTTGGGCTAATGGTGTTTGGATCTGAATTATTACAACTAGAGAGTTCAACTCATAGCCTCCTTGAGAAGAGAAAAGTTGAAAATTGAGATTATGCTTACTTTATTTGTACAATATTCAGTGCTCCTTAACTATACGAACTTCAATTTCTTATTTTTGGCTTCTTTCTGAAGTTGGATTTTCTTTTTTGCTTATTCTATGGTACAGTTAATATAAATGATTTTAGATTTATCATATAATCAAATTTATAAAATTCATTAATAGGTCAAAATCTTATATCGTATTTCTATTTGCTTAAAAAGGTTATGCTTTTGAAACTATAGAGTAATTTGGTACATTTTGAAGTATTGTCCACCTTTAGTTTGCATAAGAAGATTCTGTAGATTTACAAAGTAGATAACTGTAGATAGTTGATTTTGATCACTATTTAATCTTTAAAGGATTGTTTTACAACGTAATGTTGCACAGAGAATCATGAGAACAACTCCAACAAGTAAAGTACTACTTCATGCAAAACAACTAGAACAAGTAAACAGTACTACTTCATACAAAACAACTAGAATAAATGGAGTATTATTCTATATGGAACAACTAATACTATTAGAACAACCACTTTACATGGATAGCAGTGAAAACAGCTTAGAATAAGTGGCAAGGTTCATGGGTTATTTTCATATTGGGATCTTTCAAAGAGTTTGGCTTGGTGGCTCAGATATGGAGGTATTTAAGAGGTTTTCCTTTTAACCTTTTCTTGAAGTACAAGTTTTCTCCCCCTTACCTTGTTCTCATGTACTTGTTCATGTACACCTTTTTTCTTAACTTGTTCTCATATAGCTTTTCATGTATACCTCTTCTCTATTATCTTCTACTCGAGAACAAGTCTTATTACATCTAATTACTTCAATAGTCACTCACATTATATGCCATAAAATCACCACTTTAATATTCACATAATGTGTTACAATAATGGTTATTCATGTTAAAGCTCTTCATTATAATGTTATTCATTAATCACATTAAAGGCAATTCTTGAGTAATCGCTTTTTTTGGCATTATATATAGAGCCTCACAATTCATTTAGAGGTTTTTTCTCTCTTTTCGAGAGCTAACACATTCTCCTTTAGAACTTCTCTGTCTAAATGATCTCTTTAATTCTCTTTTACTCCATAATTCTCTTTTTATTATCTTTCACTTGCCACAACACTTAGTGCTTCAAGAATTGCTTTGATCTTCCTCTCCATTGTCTCTGGTGCATCCTTTCACTTGTTTGCAACACTTCCTCTCCTTATCGTAAGAACTTTTTTTACATTTTGACGACTCTACTAGAGAGGAGTAGTTGCATTAAGTAAAGCCCTTATTACCATAACTTTGCGTTCCCTGAATAGATAGACAGATCCTTTGGCAACCTAGATGCACTTATTCCCAACAACATCCAAGAGTTGATGAAAATGATTGAAGTTTCTTGAGAGAGAATGGAAATGTTGGAAGACAACAATAGGTGGATGTTGAAGACCATATCTCAACTTGCATCCTCCATTGCCACCACTTCTCAAGCTCAACCTGTACACCCTAATGGTGACGAGGATACACCTGATGGATCCACTCCCCTAGTGGTAAACACAAATGGGAATGAATGAAATGAAAAAAGTACAGTTGATGTAGTAGTTATTGTAAACCTTAATCTATTCAACTCCACTATTATAGTTACATTAACAACTACGTCTACTGCAATGATCCTGCTAGCCATTATTCAACGCTTTGTGACAATTGAAAAGTTCTAAAAGTTACTAGATTAGAAGAATAAGAGCTTTTTCTTTTTTGAATTTAATCTTAAGTTTCCTTATCTAACAAATGTAGCTGCAAAACCATATCTTAAGGATTACAATAACCCTAAGTTCAAGCAATTTAATGGAAAAATTGAATATGCATGGGAACCTGTCATGAAATTCATGATAAAAGGATGTTAGACATATAAGAATCTCATGATGAAAAGGAGTTGGTAAAGGTTTGCACTCAATGGATGTTTGACAAGTATAGGCTACATTTGGAGAATTTACCTTTTCCAACATTTAATACTTTGGTGGAAGCTACATGAAGAACCAGTAATATGGTTCTTAAACAAAATGGAGCTACTTGCTTTGATAGAAGGAAGACCCTAATAGTGAATGTTATTCAACAAGGAGGTAGAGAAAATAGAGGTCCTTTAGAATCAAATTTACATCCTAAAAGGGATGATTTATGGAAAAAGCCATATGAAGAGAATGTTTCTCCTCTACCATTCTTAGTTCCATTAAATGGAGTGAAAGCACTTCTTAATGAATGGATTAAGGATGGACAGGTGAACTTCCTTTATGTTACACAACCACCAACAATAAAAGAGAAATCCAACCTAAGGTATTTGATTATCATCGAATAATTGGTCATTCACTTCTTGAATGTAGAGATTTGCATAGAATATTCAACAAGAAGAAGCAAGCATGAGAGCTACTGATTAAGAACAATAGGGTCTAGAACAAACCGTTTCTTGTTCATTACTTTATTTGACATTTGAAAAGAAAAGAAATTCATATTTAGCTACTCGTTTTATCACTTATACTTTGGCTGCAATTATATTATACTATTGGTCGCAAGCTTTATTGCTAATTCTTTTGCCATAGTTCATCACTTTTATTTCAGTCGCAAGCTTTACTGCTCATACTTTGGTTGCAATGACATTATGCTATTGGTCACAAGCTTTATCGCTCATTCTTTGACCATAATTCATCATTCATATTTCAACAACTAGCTTTATGGCTCATGATTTGGCTGTAATGATGTTATGTTATTGGTCATAAGCTTTATCGCTCATTTTCTTGGCCCTAGCTTATTACTCAAAAATTGACAGCAGTTTTTATGCTTATTTAAAGGGTTGAACTAATCTCTTTCACATTAGGTTAAGAGTTAACCTCCTTGATGTAAAGTTGAGATTCACCTTTGGTTGTATACAGTAATATGAAGTGTAAGCATGTAACTTTCATATGAATAAGCATTACTATGATGAGTCTATAATAAAAGAATAACCAACCATGAAGTTTCATAGAGAAGAATCGCTATTGTTGATATTGGAGAACATATTTTACTATTCTTGAGAAGAGCTACTACTGGAACAAGTATCTAATCATCTTTGCAACTCTTTTTGACAATTCTTCAATAAAACAATATTTGTTGCAATCTCTCCTGATAAAAATCGCCATTGGAGGAAGTATCAAATCATCTTTGCAACTCCTTTGCATGATTATTCAGTAAAACAATCTTTGTTGCGATCTTTCTTGACTTCAATCTCAGCTTTGCTAGCATCATATATGAACTGTAATATTAGTTTCCATTTTTAGAGAAGTACGTGCTCATGGACTATTAGCAATCATAAGTTAGCTTTTGAATTGTCCTGTTACATATGTGTTACACAAAGGCTAGAGGCACTAGTTACGAGTAGAAGTCTGAATACAAAAAATCATACGAGTACAACTCTTAAGTTTAGCCAAGAATAGAAGAAACAATGAAACACAAGAAGAAAAGTGGTTAAAAGAAAAAGGCTCATGTGGTTATCACACTCAAATTGATGCACTTAGTTTCTCTTTATTAGTTGATTATATCCACCTTTACCTACCCAAAGATTGAACTAATGCGATTTGTTGTCAAGTCAAAATTGTTAAATTAATAAACACACTCTTTAACTTTTTCTACTAGATAATTGCAGCTACACGTTACAATGAACCTAACCAATTTTTTTCTTTCCTTTGCTTTACTTTCATCAACTTTTTTCTTAATTCATTTGAAAGAAAAAAGATGCTTCATATATAAATTCATTTTCAATCAAAAAGCTTCATCTCATGCATGAAAAATTTCTTGTTTCATATTTCAATAAAAAACTTTTTCATGTAGAGGGCAACAAGCAAGAAAAACATGAATAAGAAATACAAATAAAAAAAGAGAAAAACTTACTTGCTTAAAGTAGCTTCATATTTATAGGCACAGAAAATCAAGATTTTTATCCTTCTACAATTAATTAATTTTTACCTTGAAAATTTTATTTTATTTTATGCATGAAAAATATATTATTATGTAATTAATCGGTTATTACACAAAACAATAGCATGTTACTGCTTAGGGTGTTACTGGCTAAGGCATTGCTGTCTAAGACATTACTACCTAAGGTATTATAGCACAAAGTATTAAAAATAAGGTGTTATAATACAATGCAGTACAAAATATAAATTTTTCCTAAATCAATGCATAAGAACTTCTTAAATAAGAATTCTTATGTAGGGGATAAAATGTAAATAGTTGATTTTAGTACTACCTATTCTCTAAAGAATTATTTTACGATGTAATGTTGTACAAAGAATAATGAGAACAACTCGAACAAGTGAAGTACTATTTCACAAAAACAATTAGAACAAGTGAAG